CAAGGGGAAAGGTTTAGACGTTTTAAACGCTTATCGTAAGGGAGTTTAGAAAGACCCTTCACTAATTTCGTCCCCACTCGCTGGACACACTCAAGTGAGCTAGTATTCTTTATCAGACATGGGCTAGCTGCTGGGATACAGTACTCTGAGTGTGGCCTTACATAGGTAGGATATAAAATTCGAAACATCTCATCAAAGTATTTAAATACTCGGCGAAGTGACCATAGCGCATAATAACCTTCGGAAGCAGCCGCGTTGCAGTGCGTGTGGTGTGATCTACTTATATCCATATAAGTAGTATATGGTGTGGGTCAGGCATAGAATGTATTTTCGCAGAAGACCGATGAGGAAAGAACTGAAATGAAGCGCAATCGTTTGGAAAATGCATGAACAATGGAATTATTGAAGAAACAGTGAAGATTGAAACAATTGATTGTTAATTTGCAAATTGACTGTTCATTCTTTGGTAATCAGAATTTACTGAGATAGTCTGTAATCTTTGCTTAAATATATTCGATTGTCCCCAACTAGTGTTCTGTTTACTACATTTGGTGTCGCTGCCAACCAGGAGGAGGAAGGGTGCTGTTCTGCGGACGCCGCTGCGGGTCTGGAGTGGAGGTGCTAGTTGGGGCAGTCTGGTGGGGAGAGTTGGCGTCGAGTGGAGTGTTCTGGCGGGAGGCGTTGGCTGTAGCAGGTGCTGTCGACGGAGAGGAGCAGTGGGACGTGCGGCTGCTGGGCGGACATCGGATGTAGATGGCTCAGCAGGCCGGTGGAGTACGGGTGTTGAACGTCCCAGGTGCCGGGTGGATGCGGATGTTGGTGCCCCGGCAGGTCGACGGAGCTATGGAGTTCAGCGCGCCGCAGACTCGACATTCTGACGGAGAGTTTGGCACAGACTGCAGTGGAAGAAGATAGTGGCACGGCGAGCAGAACCACCGCATGAACGAATGCTTTAAAGGGGGGACGAGTGTGGTGTGATCTACTTATATCCATATAAGTAGTATATGGTGTGGGTCAGGCATAGAATGTATTTTCGCAGAAGACCGATGAGGAAAGAACTGAAATGAAGCGCAATCGTTTGGAAAATGCATGAACAATGGAATTATTGAAGAAACAGTGAAGATTGAAACAATTGATTGTTAATTTGCAAATTGACTGTTCATTCTTTGGTAATCAGAATTTACTGAGATAGTCTGTAATCTTTGCTTAAATATATTCGATTGTCCCCAACTAGTGTTCTGTTTACTACATGCGTAGTTGTTTTCAAGTCGTGACTTATGGTCACTCCTAAGTCTTTATGCTCAGGAAGGCGTGTAAGAGATGTACCATTAATGTTACAATGGTAACTACTACCGTGCCCGATGTGTATGAGCACGCTCTTCCTGGAACTTACTTCCAAGCATCAGTCACGGGCCATCTAACAAATTCGTCTAAGTCAGCTTGAAAATGACAACGATCAGACTCACTTCTTATTGTTCTCTAGATTTTGACGTCATCCGCAAACAATAATATCGACGACTTAAGTAATAGAGGTAGTTCATTAACATACAGAAGGACAAGTAAAGGGACTAAGATGGTGCCTTGGGGTACACCACTTTTGACCGGTTTCCATTCGGACAGCGTTCCATTGACCCTTACTCTCTGTCTGCGGTCACATAAGAAGCTTCCTATCCATTCCTGTATAGCACCTGTTATTCCAAAGCTCGAGAGCTTCTGCATAAGACCTAAGTGTGAAACCTTGTCAAACGCTTTGCTAAAATCTATGAATATCACGTCGACAGACAGGCCATTATCTAGGGTTGCTGTCCAATCCTCTCTCGCAATAAGTAATTTAGATAAGCATGAACGTTTGCTAAGAAACCCATGTTGCTCCGGAGTTGACAAATTATACGAATCTATGTGACTCAGTTACTTAGCCCGAATTATCTTTTCAAGTAACTTAGTGACTATGCTGGTCAGGCTGACAGGCCGGTAGTTAGATACGATCCGTCTCTGATCATCCTTGAATATAGGACTAACTATAGCGTCTTTCCAGTCTCTAGTTAGTTGAGCGAGTGAAAGGGACATGTTGAAAAGCGTCGTGAGCGGTCTTGAAATAATGTCCGCAAGCGATGACAGCAAACCGGGTTGTAACCCATCAGGGCCCCGTATATTGCAACTTTCGAGGTTATTTATTAATAGAAGAACAATTTCCTCAGTCACGTGTATAGATCCTATGACTGGTATATCGCTGTAAATAGGACAAGTAGTTGTAACACTACACGTAGAGTAGACTTCACCGAAATAGGTTGCAAATGTCTCAGCTTTTGCTAGACCAGATTCAGCTAGTAAATCTGAATTTTCTTTTAACAGTAATGCGGAATACCATCACTACGTTCTGTCCGCCTTTTAACGTACGAAAACAGTCGCTTCGGACAGGTACGGCTATCGTATACCAACTGTCGTTCGTAAGTGGTACGGGATTTAGTTGTGGTCGTTTTACATATGATTCGGATTTTTATGCATTCTCACTTAAATGATACCTGTCCTGTTGACAAGAATAAGTCCCAGAAGCGTTTCTTACGCTTTAGCAACTTCCGAGTTTCTTTACTAATCCATGGAGAGCAATGTGATAGCTTGCGTGTCTACCATGGGATAAACGGTTGAGTTACGGATTCGAACGTAGACTTAAAGCTATTCCATTCGTCTCCGATCGATCCATCAGCATCGACCTACCAGTCAATCAAGATAGCACAGTCTCTGATTGCCGGAATATTAGCTCTCCAGATATAATAACGGGGTGGAGCAGATGCAAATTCTATACCATGTATCTGGAACTTAAAGGAAAGTACAACGTGATCACTATTCACCGGTGGGGGAAGGTGTCGAATGTCGACGACATCTTCACAGTGGTGTGAGAGGACAAGTTCTAGCAATGAAGAATCATGTTCCAGGTCACTATGTGTCCGTTTTCGATACATTGTACGAGTTCACACTGGATAATTGTTGATGGAAGGTCGCTATCGAGTCTCCCAATTGAAGCTGTGAGCTCTCTCCAGTTGATATGGGGTGCGTTGAAGTTTCCAACGACGGTATAACATTCTGCCTTACTCCAAGAAAAGACGTGTCTTATGATAATGTCATCAGCAAAACAACGCGGACTACGATATATTCCTCCTATAGTCGCTAACCCGTTTCTAGACCTAATTGTACAACATACTACCTCACACGTACCACTAGCATGCGCCTCCGTTAAGATCGATTGTATGCTAGAGTGGTCCCTAAAATATAACATTATGCCTCCTCCCTTGCGACTTATAACTCTATCACTCCTAATACAGATGTAGCCTGAAATGATAGGAGAACAGTCTATATCTACAGTCAGCCAAGTTTCAGTGACAACAATTATATCGGCATTTAATTCAACCATCATCAGACTTGGCTCAGACATTTTATTTCGAAGACTACAGGCATTTGTGTAGCACACACTTAAGGTGTTTTTGGAATCATACGTCCTACCCATACGTACTACCCGAAAACACTTAATCTTCAAGTTCGTTCCGCCATTTAGCTTTCGAGTTTTTAACTCTGATCCGATCCTCAAGTGGCCAATCTGGTCGAATGCGAATATTTGAATCACGAGGTTTGCGTGCGTTATTCAATATTACGTCCCTTTCCTCAAAATTCCCGAGTACTAACTTCAAGATCCTTCTTTGTTGGGTATCGCCTTTAACATATTTACCGAATCTTACTGCTTTCGTGATATATACCCCCGAAGCCTCTTCAGGCAGTACATTTCGGATGACAGATCCCACTAACTGCATACCGTGTACATTTCTCTTAACAGGGTCATTGTCTTTCGACTCTCATAGATTCATAATAATTAAACTAGGGACTTGTTTAACTTCTTTAAAAGTAGGGTTCACGGTTTTCAGCTCCTGCCTGTTAACTGCTGGCTTCTCACTGTTAACTTTCCTTGCAATAGTGTCGTGCGAGTCGAGCGAGTGTCTCACAACAACAGTTGATGAAGCCGAACTTTTCCTATCCACAATAGGGCTAAATATTTTCTTTCTTTTTGGACTTCAGCGAAGTAACCTGATATTCAGAATGTTAGTCCGACATTGTTTTTTCAATTATACGGTCGCTTTCTTCGGCTATTTTTCTTTCTCTTTTACGTTTAGACGTCACTTATTTCCCATCAGTCTCAGCATCCAGACTAGAACTACTCAGAATCATCAGTCGCTGCTGTAGCAACTTGTCCATTAATGTCTAAAGGTGTGTCGCTCGTTATTTGTTACGGGGTAGAAAGCTCCGTTTTGTGTTGCACCGTTGGGTGTCTGGCACATGCCGTGACAGCATTTATGACTCTGACACATTCTTCGTTATCAGTATCCATGTTACCGTCGTCACTTTTTTGTTAGCTAATGCCAGAAAGCTGATTGCTTCTTGAATGAGTAACGTTTTGCTCGAACAATAAAAAATACAAAGCCAATAGGAATTAGGGTTTGAGCACCTTTTATAGGCAGTGGTACTCAAGCGTGTGCACATTTTATGGAACCACTTCTTACATTCATCACATTCCATTCCTTCTCCCACGGGGAATAAGCAATATGGCTATCTACACTTGTGAGCAGAGCCGAACATCTTAAAAATGAACTAAAATGGTAGACAAGATGGGTATGTAAGAAGTATCTCAACCATGATCAAATAAATCAAGCCAAAGTCGACCAAGAATGCTTTGATGTAGTATATACACAAAAGAAAGATGAAAACACACAAATGCAACATCACATTAACTGAAATAAATTCTATTAAAGCGTAAACAGTAGTTTTGATGAGTAATTTATGATCAAAACAGTGAATTTAACTCAACAAGTAACAATACTTCTGTCCTTTTAAATAGCGCACCGTCTGTTTGTCACTATGAAACCATAGTGTCGTCAAATCATATTTTAAATAGTCTTCTGAAAAAACTTGTAGGTTCTCGAAATGGTGAGCCAACCGTTTTACGATAACTTGACCTTCAGCAACCCCCATAGACGGATGATGGCACCCAAACACCTACACAGATGATCCAATCCGATTGCAAATAGTGATCTGGCGCAATTTTCCAACTAACAACTGGTGCCAAGCCATTCAAGGTCGTTAAAAAGAAACGGCGGGCGACTTTTTAAGGCTCCGACCTTTATTTTACCATCCCTGCGTTGTAGTTTTAACTCCAGAAACCACTGGTTTTTGATCAAAACTTGTTAGGCTGGTAAATTTCCCCAAGTTTAGATGTGCACCAAAAAGAAAAAAATGATTGTCTAATCATATAATTAGAGATTGAGATATATATCCCAACCTCCTTATGTTGGAAAAACGTTTTGTCCGTTTTGAAGAAGCCGCGATAAAAAATTCCGGGGGAAACCCGAAACGTGCCCACAATCTTTTAAAACTTTGGGGAAATAGGTCTACGTTCTTCGTTAAAACTCCATAATTCTTTTATAGTTTGGGAACTCCCCCAAAGATTTGAGTTTTTACTAAGATATTCCCAGAATTTTAAACAACTTTGGGGAAATCCACATACGTTCAGTGATCAAACCCCAGCATATATGTATCGATGTCATAATCGAATTGCTTGATATAATCTAGTCATTTAGAACACTGAAAACCCGGAAATTACTGAAAAACGGATCTCTAAGTTACACGAAGTTTCTAGGATATGTATATCTTCATGTTCACAATGTTAAGACTAAATGTTTCTACTGCTCATCGTCATTATCTTGTTTTCCTCTGTGATTATTTTCATAAAAAGACAAGATTTCACTAACTTTTAGATAACTCCACTGATAGGCTTAAAGTATTTACACAGTTACTTGATTCATTTCAGTTCCTAAGTAAACAAAAATATTGCATCAAATATTACCCACTAATTCGTTGACCTATATGTCTTATAAGAACTTGTTGGTAGTTGGATGTAACGTTCAAAATTTTTGTTAACAAACACTAGTACAGAAACCCATAGCAATAAAACAATTATTTCTCTGTGAACAAAAACTCGTCCGTAAATTTAACACCAGTTTATTTGATGGGAGTGCATCAGTGTTGTATCTTTATAACATCTAAATCCATATTTAACGATGTAGTCCGACTTATGACGCTAAGGGTTTCTGTAATTTATTTATTTGAACACATAAGTATTAGTACAAGAAGGCACCAGATAAATATGCGCCACACAGAAAAATGTCATTTCATTTAATTGTGTGAGGGCTATGATATTGCCCGGGTTCCTAGACCGAAGCGGGTGGTTTTCTAGGGGGCCACACCCGAAGCCTTTGACCTAAAGGCCTAATCCACAAGACAGTGGAACATCTTAGAGAGATGTAGTCCCATGGTAGCCGGTCACCAACGATTGGTTCATGCACCATTTGTTCCCTTAGGATACTGGAGCCCATGTGCATCATTGGTTTGGAATCAGGGTTTTCCAACTCCCCTATGTGGACTTTCCATGTCTACCAACCCCGTTAAAGCGCCGGACATTCGCTTTTCGTCCTCTCAATTTCGTAAATAACAGTAATGCCACGAGAAAACGGCGAGTAGGACATTCTTGGCAGAGGCTGTATACGCGTGGCCGTGTAAGAGCATTTCGAGAGAGAGGGCAGGACCTTCCCACTCTCGGTCGTACCAGGGCATTTGGGGGGAAAGTGTGGATTACTGAGAAACGGTTTACAAATATTTTATACACAACTAACGTTCTTTTTTTTCTGTTTCCTGAGTGATGTATCATGGTCTAGATCAACACTGTTTCACCCCCATTAAGCCAGAAATAACACATAACAGTCATTAGCTCTCAGTGTAGTCATGTACAGGAAAAAATATTGTGTAACTGTAACCTACGTCATATTTGTACTGGTTTGTACTAAGTGAGTGAGCAGTAGATATAAGCTTCTGCCTTGTTAAGGAGCTCTTCTGTATCAAGTCTTGTCCAGCAACACAAAGTGTCCTCCAGCCAAATATATCAATGACGTAAATAACATCAAACGGTTTTGATGTAAATCGGATGCACGGTCAGTGCTGTGCCCTTGTATATCTAGTAATCCTGACATCTAATGTCATTCGGTTGTTTATTTGCTTTTGTTGGTTTAAAAACGCCGAAGTCTATCAGCAGTACGATTTTAATCTCGTATATTTTCAGTTCTCCGATATGAAAACTAAAAGAAAACATTTGTCAAGCTCAAAGTACGAGAGAGGTATGGCTGAAACACATGTTTGTGGTAGTAATTTAAATAACGGTAGGTTTGTCCATATTTATTTTATCGATTAGAAGCACCCAGAAAGATTCTAACAGCTATGTGGGACTTTGAACAGTGCGATCCGAAGCGTTGCTCGGGCCGCAAATTGGTTCGTTTGGGAATGACAAAATTGTTACGGCTGAACGAAAGCTTTGGAGGCATTGTTCTTACACCTACTGCGACTTGTGTCTTATCTCCTGACACTGACCGCCAGTTGATGCATAGTGGTGGGATTGCTGTAGTGGATTGCTCTTGGGCTCAATTGGAGCAGACGGGATTCAAAAAGGTAAGGTTATATGAATCATAATCATCATTAATACTCTGGTCACACATGGTCTTGGTGCTTTTCGGTTAAAATATGACATTGAACCTACACGACATAGGCTTAGGGCCCGTCTATTTTTCCTATGAACTTTGTTTCTCATACTTGCACTTTTTTTGGTTCCGTTAATTATTCGTATCATGTACTGTTGGTTTTCTCACAGTGCTGATGTGGAGTTTGGGAAATCGAACTGATTCACATTTAGACTAGGTTCTACGTTAACGGCTAATTGACTCGAAGCTCGCCCTACCCGCATGGGTTTCGACAGTCGGGAAGTATATAAACATGTACTTGGTATATGAGTTGATGAAGTTTGTAACTTCTTGTGTGTATAGGTTTACAGACACCAGTTGGTAAATATTGACTAAAAATGTGAAAATATATTCTATGAACACATAGAACAAGAGGGAAATCTGATGATGTACATTCTGTCTACAGGTAACTAACTGCCTAGAGCATAATCCATTCCACTCACCTTGTGATTCTCATTGGCCATGACTAGTTGATAACTCCAAAAAATCTTTATGTGGGTATAAAAAGATCATCTAACATATGGCAAGTTGTGCCAATTGTAGTACTATTTATTTATTTAAACACAAATATTGGTACAAGGAGGCTCCAATTAGATATGCGCCACATAAGTCACTCGATTTGTGTAAAGTCTGGGATACTGTCCGGGTGCCCAAACCGAAGCAGGTACTACAGGCAAGATTTGTCCATTAAGAGAGTATAGATGTGAAATATGATTGTTGAAAGTAGAAACTGTGTAGATTACGAGTATTTGAAAGTAGAATCCCACAAAACACTGAGTAAGTGATGCTGATATTAATCATGGAAAGCCATCTAAATAAGGTCATGAACCTATGTTAACCCGAGTCCTCATGTATCCATTAAATGCTGACTGATATAAGAATAAATCGGAAGAAAGCTAACTCATCAAGTATAGGGTACTATTCGTGTAGGAAATGTGGTTCCTATCCTGCTATCTATGCTGATTTAGATGAAGTAGAGTTCAGACCTGCAACTTATTGATTGAAAGATGATTATTTCAACCGCGAAACAATAACTGCATACAAAATTTTTTACTACCTCATATTTCTAAACGATATCGACTCGTTTCCCGTGAATAGAAGCTTGATTAGGTTTTTTTAATATTCACTAAATCTGATTCTCAGTTATTTTTCTTTCGCTTCATATACTCCTAACTATTATCATTACATTTTCTATTGTTTAGTTGAAATTTCATCACGGACGTTTACTTCCACTTTTGATTGCATCTAATCCGGTAAAATACGGCAAACCGTTTCAATTATCATGTGTTGAGGCTCTGGCTGCAAGTCTTTATATTCTTGGTGAACACAATCAAGCAACTGAATTCTTAAATAAGTTTTCTTGGGGCCATCAGTTTTTAACATTAAATAAACAGCGGTTACAATCCTACGCAAAATGTTCCACTAGTAAAGAAATTCTTTGTTGTCAAGATCGTTTTCTAGAACAAATAACGCGTGTAGATAGTTCAAATACAGGTAAGTGTTTACATATTTCGGAACCAGTTACTATTGTTTTTAGAATCATATGCTGATATTTATGCTGAACTAGATAACCAAATTTTAGCTGATTCTTCAAGGTTTGTTTATCCGTTAATCTTAACTCTACTTGCACAGTTCTCAGTGCTCTAGTTCATCAGAGGATTTCACGGAGCAAAGAACAGAAACTCACTCACCAAGTACGTTTAAATATCCCCACTCACTTAATTACCCATGTTACCCCTTTGTGGGTATCTAAATAGTTTCATTTTCACTCGTGAACAACACCACTAGAATTTTATATGAGATGGGTTGTTTTCCTTTCACTTATTGATCTTTATGCTCCATCTAGGCGACTAGATTAATCCCATTTTTGGGAGATTCTGAATTAGTTGGTTGTAGATAATGGATAGAATACCGTCCATCTTGATTGTATACTAATTCACACAAGTTAGAAAGGGCTATTTATAGCCTCACGAACACTTTTGTACATATTTAAGCTTATTTTACTGTTACAGTTACAAGTTATTTACAGTACTATCAAAATATTGTAAAAGTGAGTTATTTATACTCGTCGATTAGTAAAATGATCAGTTTCATGTCGTCTATTCCACACTAATGACTGAATTCTGTTGATCAAGTTTGGAATGTATTCGCAGCTAATAGTCTCAATATTTTCGTTGCACTGTATTGTATTCTGTGTTCTTTTCACTTTAGTCTAGCTCACAGTAAAAGTATGAAGTGAATTAATCCCAGATATATCCAGCCTATTTACATTGTGACTGGCTAGTGTAAGGTGGCAGACATACCTTGTATAAATGAATAGTTTTGTGTGGTATAAGTCATTCATCCCCGTTTTGTACTTGTGTCAATATTGCTTGTGTTATTTATATCTGGTTCCTAATGAAACAAATGGACAAACTTGTCTGTAGTTGCATAATTTAGTCTCCTAAATTATTATAATTTCAAATATAAACGTAGCTGAAATATCCGTATATCAGTGAAGACCAGTTGTTTACTTTTGAGAAAAGTGACATTAACGGCTTATGTAATAGTAGAAAATATGTTCACCCATGTGTAGTTTGGTGATAAAACAGAAACAAATTGAGAATCCAGTGATAAACAGAGAAAACCAATGGAATTCAAGCAATAACGCTACTGTTACCTCAATAGCTGTGGTTTACGAACCATTCTATCCAGAAAAGACCAATTAAGACAAACTAATTCTAAACATCCGTTTGAAGATGAAACTCAACAAAAATGTACTTTGTTATGATAGAAAGAAAGATATTTGTCTGTATGGTTCACATTCCTGAAGTACTTTCTTATTGTGTTGCGAAATACCAAAATATTTTGATCGTCCTCACTTTTGAAGTCAACACAATATTACCTTTTTAAAACGTTTCTAAATATTGTTTTTGTGTGTGTGTTCAATTCATTATTTTGTTCATATCTTTGCAGTAATGGATGTGTTGGCAGTGGCATTGTAGTTCTATTTTGTTTAAAATATCTTAGTAATGATAATCGCTTCATTAAGTACAAATCGTAGTTAATTTTCGATCATCAGCAAACCAAATTACATGGTAAATAGTGATAGTGTTATTGTCCTTCTACGGACACATTGCTAACTGATGAGGTGCGGATTACATAGCCTGAGTATCATCAAACAGTAATACAATGCCATCCTCATACTCACGGTTGAAAAGTTTTTATCCAGGTAACAGATCTTCACCATCACCACATACTTCAATCATAACTGTTTTCAGAATATCATCAGTGAAAAAGTTAGTAGGGGTGCGACTGTACAACCCCTTCTAACCTCGCTAGAATGGAACAATTGAAGGAGATGGTTGTGTTGCCCCCACTTTACCTATGGTGTTTGCATACAGAACCTTCAATATTTTAAGTTTCCCTGGCACACCCTTCAACAGAGAACAGTCCTGGTTAAGGGATCAGTGACTGTTCTTATTTCAAGGAGCATAACAATTGTTGACTTGGAATAAGCATAGTAGTGTTCTAACGTTCGGTCGAGAGTGAAGATATGATCGATCCATTCTCGACCTAAATAAAACCAGTCTGTTTTTTTACGGATTTTGGACAATCTGTCAAGTATGACTCAAGCCAATAGTTTGGACGCAACAGGGAGTAGATCTACCTCCTGATGTTTGTTACATAGACGACGTAGACTCTGTCTAAAGATAGCGACGACTGTCGCTTCATTTCAGGATGTTGGAAAATTCTAATTCTCAAACTTTTCCAAACAATTCAGTCAGTTTTTTTTACCGGAAGTTCCCCACCATTCTTCGAAAATGGCCTGTAGTAAGTAGTCTGGTCCTAGTCATTTATGGCGCTTCAGGAGTTCGGGTTCCTTGTGGAATTCTGCCTCTTCAGGTAGATCAGTCGTCATCGGCCTTACGGAACAAGATAATCTGATCAATGTCACCAGGGCAGCAGACCACATGAATTATTCCTCGATAAGCTCTAACCATTGTCTAAGACGTCACTAAATATTATTGATTAGCATCCTATCAGCTTTTCAGACTGTTCCACTCACACCAGACTTCATGCTCCTAGTGGCTCAGATCAGTTGAGAGAGCTCTCACCAGTTACCAGATGTTGCCACTGCTCTCAACTCATTAACATGCTCTGACCACTGGGCTTCTCAGTCATTACCCAAACTTTGCACAATTTCATTCCTTAAAAATCTACGTTTATTGTCAAACTCTCGGTCACCCGGAGTAGACAGGCGTGCTTCAATTAGTTGTAAGGAGCCTGTAGAAATACAGAGTTTATAAGCTAGGCGTTTAGCGAAGCTGCAAGCGACTTTACTCGCCATTTTCATGGCGTCATGTATTTGCAACTAGTGCCTATCCATACTTTTTAGTGGGCTGATAGCTAACCTTGAAGCTAGCTCGGTTTGGTATTTTGGTACAATGAAAAGTTCTGCTAATTTGTTTGCATCAATCCGTTTAATATAATTTCTGTTGTTTTATATCTTTATCTTACTATAATGATGTAAAATATGGTGAAGTAAACTAACATTCTTATCAATTTCTACCTTTATATAACTGACAGATTGTAATAATAACTGACATCTTATTTGTACCAATGATCACTGAAAATTTTTAAAATCCTTACTAGTGTTTTTAATCTCAAGTATCATGGGGCATGAAATAATAGGCTTCGCCAACTGATGTTTCAACAGTATCAATTGCAGCTATGATTTGTGTTGTCAAGATAGTCATGTAAGATCCAATAGTATCACATATAACTATCCCAGGAACTGCGCAGTTAACTAAGTGTTCTGAAATCTCTGTATCCTGAATAAATATCAGAATTTTACAATTAAAATACCATGTACAGTTAGCAAGTGAAAATAATAAAAGTATATTGGCAGACTAAATAAACAGATAATCATCAGAGCATTAATAATAATAATAGCCATTAATAATAATAATAATAACAATGTGATTTATCTCTGAGATTCATGGAACTTGAAAATACAATTGGTTTTATCCTCCTTCACACAATGATTTTATCCCATTGAAATCAAATACCGACCAATGTTAGGCCACCATTGATAATCTGAAAGCACTGGATATCTGTTTCGTCCTAGTACGAGACTATAGCAGTGCACATCCACGATCCCGCATATGGGGTTCGGACCCAGGACCTTCGGTATCACACAAACGCTTAACCTCTAGAACACTGGATTCAAATCCAACATTAATAATGTCTAACTTCAACCAATCCACGTTGTCGTGCGACCATTTTCCACTATCTTCGGTGGGTAACTGCCCCACAGCCAACACGGTTAGACTCCACTGGTCACGGCATCTGACTAGAACTTTGACAATTCCCTCTGAAAGCCAGTCACTAAAGAGCACACGATAATTTTCAGTCCCATAATAGGACGAAACGACCGTCTTTTGCTTCTACTTTTTCAATGGTGGTCTAACTGATTGATTCATGCTTTTAATGAAATTCGACAATCTCCACAACCCCAATTTGAAAATAACTTCATCAACTTTGAAATCATACTATTTCTGTTCTTGTCTATTTGTACGAAAGTTTTTTTATGTTAGTGTCCAAATTAAATTCATTAAAATCAATTTACTAACCAACTAATAGGTGCTTATAAAAATTTCATACTGTAAAATGTTAATATTTCCATGTTTGAACTAAATCATTATTTTTTTCTGTTATGTAAACAAAACTTTCGTTCTTTGATCTACACATCACAGCTGATAGTAACTTTGGCCAGCAGGATTCCACTGTAATTGAAGGTGAAGAAATAAACAAGGTCATCACTAAACAAATCGATACATTGGTTAGTTCATTTGAACGAACCAAACTTTTCACAGAATGTGGCAAAAATTGGGATCGCTTCTACAAGCGTAATGGTGTTCGATTTTTCAAGGTTTTTATTACTTGGCATAATTTTAATTTTAATTTATACGATTCTGTAAAATAAAATTAAGCGTGGATTATATATATATATATATATATATATATATATATATGACGTAGATGGTCCATTGCAGTATTATTTCCTGTGTACGTGAGATCAAAAGAACATAACTTACCGTTTGACGGACATATTAGAAATTGTTTTGTCTTGGAACGCCAACCAATGTCACGTGCTAAATTTACGAGTCAAAGTTCTAATTTTGTTTATTCCACGTCCGTTATTTATTCTATATCCTAGTTTCAGATTTGACTGACTATACACCTGGCCAACACCTCTAAGCTTCTGTTAGTCCGTAACCCACAAACCTTTCTCTACACGCTGCCATGAGTCCAAAAAGTCAGCAACCAGTTTCTGTTGTTATATTTCAAACACAAGTGGGTTTACTTACAGACACTGGACTGCATCGCACCGTAAGGTGGAAAATCACAATTATACATATATCAGCCATAAGCTCCTGTGAATAATCAATTAGCAATAAAATAGGAATAGTATACAGCTCACTAATAGTTAATGGATTAAACGAAAGTGTTAAAGAAACGCAATATATAGATTTAGTAATCCACTTATTGTACAATAAAAATATACATGATAGTAATAATACGAAAACCAACTCCATAAGTTCCAACTTCTATGATATCCCATTGTGACAGATGTCACTATGACAGGAACTAGCATTAGATGCATCTATAAAGGCTGTTGACATAGCCTTCAAATTTAAAGCCAGAAAAGCTTCAGATCCAGTAAAAAGGTTTTTAGCGTTTTTTTCCGCGACAGTGTTTTGTCTAGCATACCTATTGAATCCTTTGTAATTGACGGCAGCCCTGCCACAAGCAATGCTCTGTCTACCAACTCTCCGAGTGCTCAGGCTATTTTGTGCAGATGCTATGTTTTATGCAACATTCTTGGGCGAGTAAGCAGACGATATTATGTGGCTATTGTTTCTTTAGAAAGTGTCAACCAATACGTTTCAACTATTTCTGGATGTAATGTACACAAAAAACGTTGAACGGTAAAAAGTGTATTTAGTCCATTGATATCATTTTTATATTCCATTTGTACGTCAGTATATTAAACAAAAAGATCCAAAAAATTTTTGTTTACTGGAGAACAACTTCATGATAACAAAGAAAAAGTGAACTCGAGCGTTCAAGCTACATGCTCAACTACTTCTGCAGACCAATACCAACTTCGTTGAAGTCACTCACAGGGTTATAAAAACGTGGAATTTGAAGCGTACTGTTTTACTTTGAGCATATCACTTGTTTCTGCGAAGTAACTACTGGTTGTAAACAAGGTATCACTAATCGGTCGATAGTTATCCGTAACACTCACGGTATGTTAGACTTATGGAGGCGTATAAGTCCGCGCGCCTGTCAACTTTTGGAAGATGGGATGCACACATGTTGACCCAATTTTTCGCTCATTGTGAAATACCTTTTCAGTACGAAGCTTTACTGGAAGGTACACTATCTGCACGGATATCATAAAATGTAACTGCTATTTTTGGTGCGAAACTCATTTACCGTGTAGGCATTTGGTGATCTACACAATGCAGTATAGTGACGCAGTAAACCGCGTAAGTTTATGCACAAAGTGGTGGGTATTATCTACTGAATCATTGTATCCCGTAAACATGTTGCGGAACATCCTAGACACCGGTTTCGCAGCTGACGCTAGTGAATTTTGCGAGGTTTTTGAATAGTCTGGTGATTATTCACCAACAGTTCTGGCCGATAGTTAATTTAATCCTACATGTGATGCATGGTTCGGTGCCGAAGTTTTATGATTCTAGTCTTATTGTTCAAATTTGCTTTCATTGCTCCTTTACCACTATAAATCACCTACATATTTCAAAAATCGTTGTTACCTACGACTGGAGATCAATAAATACCAGTCAACAATGGATTTCGCCATAACATCGACCTAGGTGTTTTGGTTTCCAGCGGTGACCATGATATTAAGATGGTAAATAAGTTGTATTCATTAATTCTCATGCTAGAGTTTTTTCTTCTACAAAAGTTTGAATGAAAGTTCAAGACTTGAATTGCTTTAATGAAAACAACTGGTCGTCTAAAGAAGTTATAAAACTTTCATCCTATACCAGTAATGCACATGGACGTGGGGAACTGTTGATAAAGATGGTTTAAAGTAGGGAGATTTCAGCCTTATCTACCAACAGCCTAGAATATCGATTTCCAATTTAACCATTTACTGATGAAAAATAAAATCTAACCCTGTCAAATCTTAGATACAGTCTGTAATTTTCCTACGCTCATGAATATTATCGCTAGTTTTAAATAGCCTCTTTGTCTAATATCTTTTACATCTTCAGTTCGAAAGAAGGTGAATTTATTTTACTAATTGCCAGATCTCCTACGTAGGCTACCGATTGTTGCACCACAGTTCATTTATCTTGATGCAATATTCTATTCGTTCAATGATTAAGTTGGTACTTTATCTTTTACAATACTTTGTTTTTTAATTTAAAAGGATCGCCATTGGACAACACACGAGTTTACAGAATTATCATCTTTACATAACAGAACTCCAAGATCTCTTCTTGAAGTCGGTTGTGGTGTTGGAAACTTTCTAATCCCTTTAATTGAAAGTATGCTTTCCATTTCAAAAGCGGGTATAGATATTGCAGAAGAATCTTGTGTTTCAAAAACAAACGGTTAGTAATCATTAATTTACACATAATATGACGTCAAAATGGTGATTATTTCTTGGTGATTACTATTTGTTTCTAAATAATCTGTCCAAGTAAATTAGGTCATAATCGTATTGTGAACTTGGCAATACTTTTTTTATTGAGAATTTACTTTCCTTTGTTTTTCCCAGATTTAAAACACGTTTATTAAACTTCGCAAACTGTCAAATACTTATCTCTCCCGCTACCTGCAAAATATTCGGAATTCGAAACAACTTTAGGTTCAACAGTCATTTATCAAATAATGTTTTCGCAATTACAGTTTTCTTGAAGCTAGTAAACTTATTTAGCATAATACTATTCTCATTCAATTTATTTCACAATTTAGTCTTTCTCTATCGAATCTGTCAACTTACATCTAGGTTATATTTGTAACGGTGCATCTACTCTCAGTATTGTATTGCAAAATTCATCGATAACAATCGTTTGATTTTTCCCAACCCTTATTTTTATTATTATAAAAGTTGAAGTCAGATTGTTTATTTTATTGACAGTATCATAGTTGTCAATTTATCGACCTAGGATTACAATATAACATTCACGATCAGATGTCCTAACCGTTCGTAACTGCCGTCCGCATCTTGGAACATAAAGTCCTTGCCCCATTTTACCATTGTTATTTATTTGATACTTTTTCGTCATGACATTCATATACAGTTCTTTATTACAAAAAAGCATATTATGGGAAGGTATCAAGGATTAGTTTGCACTCCAAGTAAAATAATATGGTTGGTAATTTTGATGTTATTGCGTGGAGATATACATTTTGTTAAAATTTGCTATATCCAGTGGTCGCGTTATATCTGTGGGATGCTTAAATGATATGTGCTCCATGCTGAAACCTACAATCTGATGACGCGTAGTAAGAACTCAGATTGATGATACAAACTTACTTGACCCCCAAAACAAATTCATATCACCAGTCTGTGTTCGCACTACGCGTCGTTGAGCTCTGAATTTCAGTCAGTACCGAACACAAGTAAGTTAATTATTTCATAGAAGTAAAACTCAGCATTGGGGCTACTAACTAGTTGGTTATCTCGTTGCGGTTTGTGCGTCACTCTACAATTTAAATTTCATTGTTACTTGACTTTACTTATTTACACAAAGACATAATAGCAGAAGTCATTTGTATAATAGAGACTTGTGTTTAAATTTAGTCAAAAATTTAATGAATATCTTATAGATGTGTAAACTTTCATCAGAATGTGTTAAATATTATTGTTATATCCAGTAGTTCTCTACTTCGATTTTCAGAATATATAATTAAAATTTTATTGTTTACATATTTCAAATCATGAATTCTCATCTATCTTAGCATATTAAATTGTTGTTGACCAAACGTAAATAGTTGTACATATTGTATGAACAAAACAGATGTTAGTTGTTTCAAGTTTATTATCTAATAACTTCTTAGCACTTATTGTTAGGTTTTACTTGTTATGTCGTGAAATTAGATGTTTATTCAGTGGCTCAAGCCATAATTGTTGGTTACCCCCACAAATTTTTACCGTGAGCACGGTATTATATCCCATCAGTTGTCATATTCACTATATTGTATTTCCTAACGAGTAGACTTATGAGAATATGGTGATAAAATTTCACTTTATTCACTACGGTACCAATAGAAATTTTTATCTCGTATGGAAATATTAACATTAAGTCAGAGATTCTCATAATTTCTTAGTTAATCTACTTTCATCTATTCAACATGTTCAATTTAGTATAACCTTTTGTCATTTTTTAAAAATAGGAATTTCAAGGATATATGCTTGCGATATTTCACAACGTGCTGTGGACATATTGGATGAGCGTCTCAAGGAATTTCCAGTTAAATGTAATGCATTTGTTTGTGATGTGACCAAAACATATTCTCTAAAAGCTGCTTTGTCCTCTTTGAATTCAGTTAGTGATCAGGAATTCAACAATGCTGAACATGGTGTTGATCTAGTAACGTTAATTTTTGTTCTGTCTGCACTAAACCCACAAGAAATGTTCACATGTCTTTGCAATGTTGCAAGGTTAGTTTTTGAAATTACACTTAAGTAAATTACTTCTTAATAAGTTTTGAAAGGAAATTTTCTATGGAACACTCCGTTTTACATTCTTTAGTCTGTTTATAATTTGAAGTTTACGTTCATATAAATAGACAGTTTATACTATATTTTTACGCAACAGAACCTTCCTGAATGTTCGTTTTCATACACGTTCCAGTAATAGGCTAGTATTGTTAATAATGATGATACATTTCCCCAACCAGTTCGTTAGATATCACTTAACCTAGCATCTACGATCATTGAAATACCCCTTTTCCTCATCGATAGTCAATAAAGTCATTCATTTATTCTCTTCATATCAGTTTGTCTTACATGATGCTTTTATTATATGTTAACAAATCTGCATTCGTTTTTACTAGAATCGATAGTTACGTTTTAGAACTTAACTCTTTCAGTGATTGTATATTTTACGCGATGATGTGAAACACAGTTCATTTTAAAATACACAGGCTTCCTGTATTTGATTTTATCATAAAACGTTAGATTGTAACCATCTGTACAAACACACACAAACATAGTCAGAGTGCATGAAAGATTTTTAAAATCTTGTATCATGATAATTTCATAGAATTATTTTTATGTCTTTAAATTTTCAACCAGCGTCCTTTCACCCGGCGGTCGACTTTTGTTTCGTGATTACGGTCAATATGACCATGCTCAATTGAGATTTGGTCGGGGATCTCGTTTATTTGCTGATCGACCATCTTATGTTAGACAAGATGGAACACTGTCTTACTTTTTTACAAAAGACGAACTAGCTAATTTATTCTCGAATGCTGGTTTGTCTGTGCATCGCCTTCATTTTGTTCACAAAGAAACGAGAAACGTAGCTAAAGACCTGTGTGTGCAGCGTGTTTTTCTTCAGGCTGTTTGTGAGAAGCCTGCTTCGTAGTTAATTCGTTTGGAGATAATGGTACTTATGTGTATTACTTATTTTATCAGAAATTAACGTCACTTTGTATATACATTCTTTTGTAAATAAATAAAAGTAATTTCTATTCTGGGATGCTCCTTTTTATTTTACTGCTTTATTTTCATTACGATGTTCAAGTAAAGTCGTTCCTTAGATATTTTGGAAATTATTTGCATTATTTCTAATGTGGGTCGATGTGAAATACGCATGGTTATAATACCCATTATTTCTTAGCTTGAAGTCTTTTAAGATTTAACTGCTAAATGGCTAGATTGTTTCATTTCAGAAATTTTTATCTTGACCAATCATTATCATTTAGTTTACATCTTTGAATAGTTACCAAGTCTAGTAGTTCAGTTTATTTTACTATCTGTTCAGTCAAAGATCCTAATAGATTGTGTACATCGTAAAGGTGTTACTTTTTGAGGGTTATAGAATGTTGATTGTTTCGAGTGAACAGATTGTATTAGCTGAGATGAAAATACAAAAATCAGTAAGAGAATTTTTGTAATGCCAAAATCTAACTGGTCACCGACAAGTGTTCGAAGCGATTAAGATTATCACACTAGAGTCTTGAGTCCTTTGAGTCGTTTGACTGAAAGATTTCCCTGGGTAGACATTTTCTAATTCTGAAGTTTTTAAAAATGATAAGATGGTAATGCATTTATAAATAATAGTTTACTATCATGTCCTCACTAATGTTTGTAATTCATACGTTCTTATCAATTAACTTTACAACAGATACCTTGAAGCGCAGAAAATAACTGACGTTTATTGAAGTAGGACCAAATTATACAGGCTGTCTGAACATTAAACAATATCATGATCTAAATAACAGAACTTTCAAATTACGGAATTTAGGTTTTCAGGGAAAATCATTCCACTCGACTTCTGCATGACATTTATCAACGCAACTGCTATCAAGATTAATTCGCATGGTGTAACAATTTTATTAATCTGACCGGAGAAGGCTATTCTAGCATCTCGAACTCATTTTAAATTCTTTTTTTCATAAATTATTCATTTTAACCTCCAAATTTCCAATCCAGATTGCTGGGAATCACAAAGTGTTTGCTATCACTCGACAGTCAACTTAGGAAACTGACCAGTGAACTCGCGCCAGAGAGAGACTTGGAACAGTGAACGTATGATGGAGTCTATGAGTAATTTTGACAAGAGCTATGCATCCTAGGTATATTCTGGATATGTTAACTTACGTTCTCTTACCTATTCCATCGTTTTGTTTAACTGCACTCTTTTGCTGTCATGCGTCTTACCCAAGCTCTTAGTCCAGATTCAGGGAAATATGTATTCAAAGACAGTACTCGGACCTTGCTGCTGTTAGCACTACGGTCTAGATTTTGTATGGGTTCAGCATAAAGTGCTTTGTTTACTTCCTGGCAAGCAATCTACGATTTCTTATGTATGATTTTCTCGCACTGTCTACCTGGTTTTACTTAATCACTCTCTTCATTTCTCAAAGTTCTAGACCAGTCGAAGGGCGGGTTATCACGTGACACTTTTTGAGGGAAGTGTCTCTTGATTAATGTAACATCATTGTAGCTGTTTATCTAAGTCAATCTTCTACCTTGTCGTAACACGAGGAGTTTTGTTTATTTCCATTCAAAGGAATTCGCCCCAATGCAGACCATAGGTATGAGTGCCATCCATATAGTGTCAGAGATAGTGTTGAAAAAACAGTTCGTACCATTTCACATGAGCAATGTGAAGCTTCTCTTTGTGCTTCGGCACGTAGCAATGTATAAACAACTGAATTCTCAGCAACTAATACCACCCGGAGATCAAGTTGTCCGTTCCAGTGTTACCGACTGCCAGAGTTTCTGTGTCAGCGTCAATGAAGTGCTAGAAGGTTGGAAGAGTTCCTTGTTGAAAACTAGCTTTAGTTATTCGTGTTTAAATGTATTATTCCTCATGGATCTTGATGTCAAGCAAATAAGTGGTAGAGGTGCAGTCTCATTAATTCAATTTCACATGGCTTGAATTATCCCGTTGTTTTTTTTTATCAGAAACTTGATGGTTCTTTGTATATCCAGTTAATGAGTCCCAAGTAGATTGAGACGTGTGTCCTGCCTTCCAATGTTAGTTACGTTACATCTGTTCTACGTCAGTCTCACTAGGTTTTAGAAGGATACGGTAAGGTCAGTGTCCAGTTGTAGATGATGTGTTTGCAGCAAGACAACAAGCCTGACAACATTATTCAGTTTATAGTTTTAGTCTGCTTCAGATGGACGGGTATCATATGAATGTCTAACGCAATGTGTGTTACGTCAATTACATCATCTAATGAGTTAGTCTAGCTCGACTTGCCCCAGAATCCAGATTCTGCTAATATCTTGTACCATTAGGAAGTAGATAGAAGTTTATCTACATAATGTTATACTGTAGAGTTATTGTCTATTTCGGTATAAGTACATTTATCTACGTTACTATAATAATAGACGCAATCCCAGAATCGTAGATTCATCTTGTGACCACCCTATTTATGTGGTCTTTCGTGGAAGTCGAATCACAATCTACACTGACTCGTCCTGTCGTGACAATCACCAGTATGACGTCTAGCACTTCTGAAGAATACATTTCGACTAGAGAGAGTTTTAATACTCAATACGAAAAGCAAGAGGTTACATAGAATGATTACTCCTCGAAGGATGGACCATGCCTTACCGAACAATTTTTCCCGCGTTCACCATTTTCGACCTTTAAGTGTCATATGTTGAATGTAAACTTCAGTAGTTATATTTTCAACCTTAAGAATCATGTGGTTGGAAACCAATACCACTACAATATATATCTAAAAAATGTTTCGAAGAATTACCGGGTTCAATCACTGTCTTGTGGGTGGATTCGTCTGTTGATTCATCAGTCTGCCTTAGTCGTATTTAACCTTTTAAATTTGTTATCAAGCATCCAACGTCCTGTGGTGAATCCGCGAAGATAGAGATACGTTCATAACGATATGTAATTTCGCCAGAAATTTGTCTCTGTACTCATCACACAGTGCTCTGTTGCGAGAATTGACGCATATTGAATTTGATGCATGATCCGGTCGAGTTATCACTCATTCGAGGTCAATAAGTGATCAACAAAAATCATCCGTGTACTATTTGTTTGGACGATGAGTTTGATATGAAACCAAAAATATTTAGGAATTCTGAAAGTATTTGGTCGGCTGTCAGCATGCAAGAGAAATAATTCACAGGTTATTTAAGGATGTCGTCAATTAGTACTAAAGTGATTTGATAGAAAAATACTTTAACAAATCATACAAACGTTCATAATGTTGACAGATGGTTATCAGTTTTACATAAAAGTGACTGAAACACTTTGTATTTCCATTAATAACTCTCAGATGGAAAAAACAATCAGCGTGAAGTGCCACAGGTATTCGAGGTTTAATAACGCTTTAACCAGTAACACCTATTATAAATGGTACCCACCAAGTGAAATCAAAAGACAGAAGTGAAAAGGTTGGAAGATACATTTGATAGGTTATCAATATATCGTGGATCGACTGATCCAATCTGGCTAGAAATTGCAGGGGATGTTGAGTACGGCATTTCCACTTGTGTTCTGGTGCGGATGTATGACCGAGCACCTTCAGCTAGGCGAGTTCATTAAAGCTAATGTGGTCAGCATCCAATTTCGAACACTTACAATGCCATTAATTTTGGGGATTTATTTACCGTCACAAGCGCATAATGAACTTAAGTTGATTATAACAGTAATTGGTTTGAATTAGTAGGCTAGTAGACGCTTCAGATAATGTATTAGGTTCCGGTTTCATCTGTATTTGTAGGCTGACTGGATGTTCCCAGGTGCAAACTCGCGAAAAAACAGTGCTAACTAGTAGGCAGTGAGTGACATGTGTATGATTATTGAAACGAGTATGAAATGAAACCAACTCATACCTGTCGTATCAACGGTAACAGCAGGGTTGAAGTAAATAGGATAATAATGCCTTCAGAGAGCCAGAGAGTGGTCGGTTCTGGGTAATCCAGAATGGCCGCCACTTTGCTCCCAAGGGGTCGGATGCCTTGAGCATCAATGGTGTGTCCTAAGAAGTCTAAGAAGTTTGTTCCGATTTGGCATTTCTGTATGTTGACAGTAATGCCATGCCTTTGAAGTCGATCGAAAACAATGTCCAGATGCTTGAGATGCGATTCTTTGTCCGGACTTGCTATTAGACAGTCATCAACATACGCATGTACGAAGTTGAGACCTCGGAAGACGTCGTCTATAAACCTTTGGAAGGTTTGAGCCGCGTTTCTTAAACCAAAAGGCATTCGTAGAAATTCGTAAAGACCGAAGGGAGTGATGATGGCGGTTTTAGGAATGTCGTCAGTTGCCATCGGGATTTGGTTATAAGCTTTAACCAAGTCGATTTTCGAAAAGACAGTTGTACCTTTCAAGGTAGCTGTCAAATCGTGAATATGAGGCAGCGGGTAACGATCGGGAATGGTTTTAGCATTCAGACGCCGATAATCACCAGTTGGCCGCCAATCATTGCTGTCCTTTTTAGGGACCATGTGCAATGGGGATGCCCATGGACTATTCGATGGTCGAATTATTCCTAGGTCCATCATGTGGTTGAATTCGTTTTTAGCTAACCTAAGTTTTTCGGGAGCGAGTCTTCTGGCTTTCGAAAATACAGGTGGTCCTGTAGTCGAGATGTGATGTGTAACATTGCTGGTTACACAAGGTAATTTCGATTGCGATTGGTATATCCCGGGGTATTTGTCGAGTACTGCTTGGTACAAGGGGTCTATGGCGTGCTTAATCGTGACTGGGGATAACCTGCAACCAGAACAAGGAGTTACGCAAACGGACAACTTAGTGTTTCCGTCTATTAACCTTCGTGCGCGTGTGTCGATGAGTAGATTGTGGTGTTGTAACAGGTCAATACCAATGATTGGCATAGAGACATCTGCAACCACGAAAATCCAGTGTATGGGTTTACGTAAACCCACGTTAAGGTAGACGTACCTTTTACCGTAAGTAGCGATCGGCTTTCCGTTTGCCGCCTGTAAACTTAAAACAGACTCGCGAAGTCTGTCGTCGAGATTTGCTGGAAGAACGCTAACTTCTGCGCCAGTGTCGACGAGGTAGCGAACTTTCGTGGTCACATCCGTGACATATAAGAGGCGGCTGTGTTCGCCGGCTACGGTTGCCGTTAACGCGTGCCGGCTGGGAAGTTTCCCGAAATCTTATTCGTGTCACTCGATTTTGGGGTCGGATAATTGCAAGGTTTCCTGCAGTTTCTGGAAAACTTA